ACATGCTAACAGCTGCGAAGCGCCATCCGGATGAGAAATCCAGCCAGGTGCCTTATGTTCTACCACCAACTTTGCACTGCCCTCTAGAGCGGCTTGCAATCTGGGACCAACCAAACTGCGCTTCTTCCACTCTATCGTCTCAGCATAGACCAAGGCGGCTCTCTGGAACGTCACAAACTGTTCCGGAGACCCATCGTAGATCGGCACACCATCCTTAGTGTACCGCAGCTCGGCCATCTCCTCGATTCCACTTCAACGCTATCCAGCGAGTGGACTAACAAGGACACAGCGTTGCCCTGGAGCCCTCTGTCGCCTCTGCTTCAGAGCGGCTCCGCTACCATGAAAGCGGGCCGAAGCACGGTGGGTCAAGGCCTGCACTGCTCTTCCTTTTCTGAGCAAATGGCGCTGCGACCACGTCACTGTGAGTTCGCAAGCTCTCTAGCTTTCACAAAGCTTGCAAGGGTTTCAGGAGGTTTGGGTTTAGGGTCTGAAGCTTCAGGTTTCGGATTGAGGGTTTAGGGTTCAGGGTTTAGGCTGCAGGGTTCAGGGTTTACGGGTTAGGGTTTAGGGCTTCAGGGTTGAGGGTTTCAGGTTTAGGGTTTAGTAATTTAGGGTTCAGGGTTCGGGGTTAGAGGTCTAGGGTTGGAGGGGGGGAGGGGGGGAGTGCCTTAGACCATAAGGGTTTGGCTAGGATTTATCTTATGGATTTGTGATTCTCCGAAGCCCGGAACGGTTCGACATGCGAGGATGCGTGGTGCCTTTACCCTAAACCCTAAACCCTTGGGGCATGTCTTGTCTCCCTCCTTTGGCTTCCGCAGCCGCGTGCAAGCAACTCCATCCCCGGTTGCAAGAAGTTGAAGCTATCCCATATATACTATATACTGCACGATGTACATACTTATATATATATATATACATATATATATATATGTAAATATCATAGTGTACTATATTATGTCTATACGCTCAAAGGAAACCTCCGAAACTCAGGCCGAGTGCTGCTCTCAACGGACTCAGCCTCAGAGGGCTCGATGGTTCAGGGTTTAGATTGTACTAATTGTATTACTTATGCAAAAAACAAGATGCTACAGGCTATGTAGTACTATACGTTACATGGTACCGGTTTAGATTAAGGCTCAGGGCTGAGGACTCAGGGGTTGGGTTCAGGGTTTGGGTTTAGGGTTGAAGGATAGGGTTCAAACATGTTTGTGCTATGTTTAAGATTGCGGGCAACATTTTGGGGTTCAAGATCCGCGGCAGCAAGAACGTGCTGGCAGCACTGGTAGAAAAGTTTGTGCTGAGGTGTCTAAGCCAAAGCTGGCAGATGTGCATCTCAAACCGCGACAGTAGTGTCCGTGTTAGCCGCTCCCACACATAGAAGCTAAGGCGGCGCACGATCCGAGGAGTGCCACTTTCAGCGCATCCACGTCAGTCAGCAATGTGTCTCTCTCTCTGTGTGTGTGTGTGTGGAACGCTCCCAAGCGTTGTGTGCCGTGCTATCACTTGGTGAGCAGTAGACGAGGACGTTACACCAACGGATGTGAAGCAGGAGATCTCGAACAAGATAGGACAGCAGGTGGCCGGGGGTTGTCGATCCCCAAGCCGCGAAGCTTGAATCTGCAAATTCCTCAATCCAGCCTGAGCCCTTCCTGAACCCCGAAGCCGAACTTTTATGCCAGGTGCAGACCCTGTTGCTTCAAGCAAAGAAAGAGTCTGAGCAGAAGGCGTGGGATTCTGTTGGCTTCTGTTACGGTTCTCGCTCTTACTACCCTAAACCCTAAACCCTAAACCCTGTGAAGATCTTGTTCCGTCTGAGTCCAGGTGACAGCTGAGCTGAAGCTCCTGCACCATGCCATGCAGGACCGTGGATGTCGTCCAAGAACTGAGAGCTCCATGAAATAAGCTCTACTTAAAGGATCATGGGACTTAGTAAGTAGGGTTATAACTAAGGTAGCTATACTTATAACCCCAATTAGGGGACTTATAACCTTACTAAGTCCCATGGTCCTCCAAGTAAGCCCGAAGCCCGTACCAGGAGATGGATTCTCGCCCCGGGCCCAGTGGCATGGACACGGCAAGCTCTGGCTCTTCGTCTCATTGTCAGCAGCTCCCGGGCCTAGGGCTTGATGGCCTCGTTAAGCAGCTGGACGATATGCAGGTGCAGCCGAATCAGGAGGCGTGCAGGGTCTCTGAGGTGTAGGGTTTAGGGTGCACCATCCGGCACCTGCGAATCATACTCTCACTGCACTGATGTGGGCAAGTGCAAGGCCCTGGAGCAAGCAGCAGTGGTGCAGGCCCTGGCGAAGGTTGAGCAGCAGTGGGGCAAGGCCTGGCCTTAGTGGCACGACTTCCATGAAGCCATGCCTCGTTCATGTGAAACCTATCTTCCTGAGGAACTTGGCAAGCTCAAGGGGGAGCTGCATCAGCTGATGGGCTGCACGTGAGTTGTCTCCAGGGCCTTTCGGCACTAGTGCCCGCAATGCTGGCCAGACAGCCTCTACCCGCCCTCTCTCTCGGCCAAGAACCTGAGGACGATCTTTGCGCACAACCACAATGCCGATCTTATGAAATATCAGAAGGACCGCAGCTGCATGCTCTCCCGTGTTTTCCATGGACGCCGCCTCCCTGCACTGGTTTCCAGGAGACTCTGGACAAGATACGGCAGGAGATAGATTCGCACCTTGGCATGCTCTCTGTCCCGGCTTTTTGGAGCACCCGGTCTCTACCGGTTCGATCTTCGCCCCTCTGAGGCGAAGCACTTCCAACCCGGACAAGATCAGGGTGCCGCCCGGGGGTGTGGAGTGTTTTTTCCGCCCCCCCTGATGTTTGGATTCCTCAGGAATTCTTTATTACATGCTTGCATGCTTTCGCGACATGCGTAAGACCAAGAGCTGTGATGGAAGGCAGCCAAGGCTCAGGTGGCAAAGATCGAGACCATGTCCAAGGCAGCCCTAAAGCGATGTCTCTCTGGCCGGCCGGTCCTAAGGGTGAAGGTTAGGATTTAGGGATCTGAAGGCATCTTCATTGTATCGGTGCCAGTGCCCTGGTCAAGAGCTCCTCACGCCGTTGAGATCGTTGGCCCAAGGATCGCCGCATGTAGCTGCAGAAACGCAGCACACGCACTGCAAACTCCAAGCATTATGGTGCTCCGTCCCCGGAAAAGGCGAGGCAGACCCTAAACCCTAAAACCCGAGACCCTCAATCCGAAGCCTCGAGTCCGAAACCCTAAACCCTAAACCCTAAACCCTAAACCCTAAAATCTTTGTCTGTGCCTTCATGGCGGATGGCCAGCACCTGGCGCAGTCCCGCTACGCAGAGGAGATCTCGCTAGCTTCCACGACTGTCTGGTCCACCCGTAAACATAAGTATGTACCATGAAAAACCTACTATAATAAGATAACAATATATATATATATATATATATATATATATATTGCACTATGAGATAAGATGCTATAATGTACTGCAGTAGTGGAACCCTCAACCGTTGAGCAATCCCCCACAGGATGCCGTGCCTGTGGGCCATCGGAGCATTTGGGGCTCCTGGTCGGGACCCGATTGCTGGATTGCACGGGGCATCCTTGCGAGGGTTTAGGGTTTATGGTTTCTTCTGTTTTGGGACAAAAGCCCCTGAGGTACGACAGCGGATCGGGATCCTGGGGATATGCCGCAGCCCCGTTTCTCGAATTTCATGGGCAGGCTCTGCTGGTTCTTCTAAGTGTGTCCGAATCGTTGAGGCTTGCTGCAAGGCTACAAGCAGGTCTGCTACACCCTGTGCAGCCATTGAGCCTCTCGTTTCACTTTGGGAATTTGGGGTTCGGAGAGGATCTTTCTGGGAGTCAGAGAGCCGAGGTCCGACTTCTCCGAGGCTCGGGAGCCTCTGCTGGGTCTTGGAAGAACCCAAGCAGCAAGCAGTGTATCTTCTGGTGAGGCGGGTCGACCAGCGCAAGCGGACGCCGCCGCAGCCTTACATCCCAAGAGCTCGGGAAGAAGAGCGGTGGCCTGTTCGTGGATCCAGGAGAAGCCGGAGGTTAAGCTGACCTGGCGCCCCAGAGACGATTTCGAAACAGCCGAAGGCTATCGTGAGATGGGCCATGCTGGCCGCTTCTTGGGGATACGTCTCTGTGACAGGCTTCATAATCCACTCCTCGAAGTTCCTGGCTTCGCAGTGGCTGAGGCCATGGTCAGCAGCTTCGAAGCTGTAAGTTTCCTTTCTTGCTGCTCGCAGGTGGCTGCAAGACGGTAAGCTCTCAGAGGTGGCTGAGAAGTTTGATCCCGACGTTCGAAAGGCAGGGTCACCAAAGCTCCGAGAGACCTGGTCTTTGCTCCGGGGTGCCCGGCCCGAAGAAAGGTTTTGCTGTCTGAGTCGGCAGCCAAAGAGGCCTGTCAGCAGGCGAGCCTTGCAATTCTATGTTTGGGATGCCGGGTAGTTAGAAGGGGATTTCGGGGTATGTTATATGTTTACGACTATACCAGGAGCCCAGTACGATGTAAAGACGAGAAGATTGGAAGAAGGTTCGGAGATTCTGCGAGCGGCTTGACGATCGTGTTCCCGTGGAGCTCTCGCAACCTCTCGAGGCTGGGAGACGACGAAGATGCCTTGTAGGATGCCATTTCCCCCCAGCCTTGTGGGCTATTGACTTCAGGACTTCTGCGGCTGCATCGGTCGGAGCCTCAAGGCGTTGACGTCGTTAGCTTTCTCCGGTCGCATAGAAAGCCCAGGGTCAAGAGAGTATGTCCGGGCCAACAAGGCCGGCGGGGGAGGGAGGAGTTGGTGTTTTGTGACCTTAAAGGACTGGCGTCTGCTAGAGGCATATATGGACATCGTGATGGGCTCGAGGAAGTGGCAAGGAGACGTCCCGTACCTCGTGGAGGTGGGCTCTCACACGGCAACAGAGTGCAAGCATATGGCAAGATCTGTAAGGGCAATCGCAACGGTCCGTCCGTGGTGCAAAATGTGGCCGAGCGGCTGAACAAGACGAACGCAGAGCCTTGTCTGCAGAGCCATTCAACAGAAGTGCGATTACAAGTCTAAAGACACATAATCCTGATGCGCTGCAGAACCCACTGGACCAAGCTGGGATCCGCGACCACGCAGTAGTTCTGCGGAGACTGCTCAAAGTCGCACAGGTACCAGCCGGCACGCTTGGAGTCTGGGAGTGTCGTAGGGCCGCAGGGTTCGGGGGTTCTTGTTCTCACTTCTCACGCGCTGATCTGGTTGGATCTTGCTGGCAGGCAGTGCTGCCCAACGATGATCCATCCAAAAACTGTGGCTGAGCCGGAACGAGACCGAAGTCAGGGGAAACTTGCACTGGATCTTGGCGAGACGCTTCACCACTTGCACCATCGGCTTGGCAGTTCGGATTCTGAAGAACTTCCACTCCTTGGGCCACCAGTTTCCGAAGGAAGATGTAGAGTTGCTGACGCTTCGTTCGTCGAGCCTGGCCGCGGAGTTGCGAGGAGGTAGCAGTGGATCCGAACAAAGCGGAAAGGTCGGGATGGTTGCGCTTCCAAGGAAGCCTGGACCAGGAGAGCCCTGACTGTGCCGAGGAGTGCCGCAAGCACGCACTGCGCGAAACGAAGCAGCCGAAAAAGGTTTTAAGTTTGTAGCCTGGTCTTGCGGAATATCGGAGTGCGGTTGAAAGCGCCCTATTCGCCGATGCAGGGAGCGCAGAGACAGAAGTTGGATCCTCTTCTGATGAGGCCCGGGATCTCCCTTTTCCTGCTCGTCGCTTCGAATCACCTTCCAACCCTAAACCCTACAGTCCCTAAACCCTAAACCCTAAAGCCTAAACAGGATGTCCGCCTTAGAGCAAAAGATCTTCCGATGGATGCAGAGCGGAGGCCCCCCTGCTGGTGTCTTCGTTTGGTAAACCGCTGCCTGCTTCGGAGAATCGAACGCGGTAGAGGTAGGCATGGGACCACGGGAGGGAAAAGGTCTCGGAAACTAGTCTCGGAGGGGTTTCGGACTTGGAGAAACCGATCTCCCTTCTTCGGGGTCTTTGGGAGTGGAGCGGGGCCGAGCTTGCAAGGACCAGCTGCAGCTGCACGGCGCTGAGCCTTCGCATTGTGCTCGATGATCCGAAACGCAGCCTCGTTTTGCAATGCCAGATACCTACTAAGCACCACTATAATACCCTAAACCCAAACCCTAAACCCTAAACCCTAAACCCTAAACCCTAAACCCTAAACCCTAATGCCACTTGGACCCTTTGGCATAGGCCAAATATCCCGCCGTTCCTGGAGTTGGCCTCGCTGGATGCTGAGTGCAGCTTTCTTCTCTGGAGCTCAAAGATGTGAATATTATATACTATGTAAGATATGCTATATAGTAGAAGATATATATATATATACACACATACATATACATACATATATACATACATATATACATACATACATACATACATACATACATACATACATACATATATATATATATATGCACGCCAGGCTGGCTTGGGTTCCACGCCGTCGGCCACAAGGCCTCGTCTGAAAGAGAAGCCCTCGGCTTTCGGCTGTCGTTGCTTCCATTTGGGGGTTTCCGAAAATAGGGGACCCTATAATAGTACCCCAAATAATAGGATCCTTATTATAAGGACCCCAAAATAAGGTACCCCTAATTTTCGGAAACTCCCATTTCAGGGCGATGGCCAAGCAGCAATCCGTTCTCACCCAGGCCGAGATGTTGCCGAAGCTGTCTCTTTGCACTTCGCCCTAAACCCTAAGCCCTAAACCCTAAACCCTTTACCCTAAACCCTAAGACCTAAACCCTGAACCCTAAACCCTCAACCCTGACCCTGAACCCTAAACCCTAAACCCTGAACCCTACACCCTAAACCCTAAACCCTAAACCCTAAACCTTAAACCCTAGACCCTAAACCCTAAACCCTACCCTAACCTCCAACTCATCAGCTGTGCCAGGGTATCGCAGGCCTCAGCTTGGCTGAAAACCCCTACTACGGACTGGCCGGGCCGATGCCTTTGATGCACCCCTTCTCTGCTTCTTTGCTTGGGTTTTGGAGTATATTATAATACAAAATAAGGAACAAACACACCAAAATACTACAACTGTAGTAAGGAGCCATCAAAATATATAGGCAAATATTAAGGATTAAGGCCCTTTCTAAGTTGTCCCCGTCCTGACTCAGGTCTGAGGGCTTCGAAGGTTTGGAAGCTTCTACGGCGATGACGGCTCCGGCCAGGGAACCCAAGAGGGCAAAGCTCAAAGCTCCTTTCCTCAACCCTAAACCCTAAACCCTAAACCCCTAAACCCTAAAACCTAAACCCTAAACCCTAAACCCTAAACATCCCTTTCAGCTTCAGCTGAACGAGGCCGGTCTTGAGGAGGAAGAGGAGGATGCTGAGGACAGCCTTCAGTCTGCCAGCTTCTCAGGAGCGATTCAAGCCGATCCTGAGCTCCGTCACAGTTTGGAGTCTGTCACGCGATGTCATGATCTCTCGGTTTTTCTGGTATGTGAGTTGTGTGTGTATGCTGGGTTTTGTTACCATGCATTTTGTTATGCTGCGGTAGGTTATCTCATGCTAGGTTGCAGCGTGTTGTTGTGTTGTACTTTGTTATTTTATAGCACGATATGTTATTTCATGTTATGTCATGCTATGTCATGTTTTGGCATATTAGGTATTGCTATGTTTCGAAAGGATATGCCATGTTACGTTGTGTCACGCTGTGCCATGTTGCGCTGCGACGAGGTATGTCACGTCATGTGATCTGTTGTGTCATGTTGTGAAACATTGTGCCACGTTGTGTTATGTTGCATTATGTTGCCATGCTGTGCTAGCTTGCGTTATGCAGGCATGTAGGCATGTCGGCATGCATGGGTGGGTGGGTGGGCAGGCAGAGGCACACGGGGGGCGGGCGGGCGGGTGTAGTGCAATGTAACGTGCTACGTTATACTTCGACATACTGGGAACAGCACATGTGCATATGCACGACACGTATTGACAGACAAACACACACAATCATATGCACATGTATGTATGCAGGCATGCATGTATGCATGCATGCATGTATGCATGTATGCAGGTACGCATGCATGTATGCATGTATGCATGTATGTATGTCTTGTACATATACGCATACACACATATCTATAAATATACACATACACGTACACATACACGTACAGATAAACATACACATGCACACATATTTACATACCGGTCTACCTCCGCACGTACGTACGTACGTACCTATACAGACATATGTGTATGTGTGTGTATATATATATATACCCATATTTATAGACACCTACCTACCCGTAAGTCACATGTGTGTAGGTATCCTCGTGTAGCCTTATGCTTCCTCAGTACTAGAGTGTGACACATGGCATCTGCTTCGGAGCTGCGGGGCTCTTGCGAGTTTAGACCCGGACGATGAGGGGGTTTCCGAAAATGGGGGACCCTAATATAGCACCCCAAATAGTAGGATCCCTTATTGTAAGGACCCCAAAATAAGGTACCCCTAAATAAGGTACCCCTGATTTTCGGAAACTCCCATGAGGTCCTTGCAAAGGCATTGGCAGCAGCTTCTGCCGGCCGCAGCCTCAAACTTCTGTCGTGATGCTTGCTTCCGGTGCTCTCTCCCGTTCAGGGTTTAAAGTCCTAAGGTATTGGGTTTACCTAAACCCTAAACCTTAAACCCTAAACCCTAGGATTTCTGATGGGCCAGGGATGGTTCTTTCTGGACCATAGCTCTTTAACAGAATTCCCAGCCCAACACTCCCAGCTTCAGTCTCAAAATCCGGGGGCTCCGAGGCAGCTCTGGAGTTGCCTCCGCATAGCCGTGTGCCACTGGCAACATTTTGCCGGATCCTTGGTGGGGTCCTTCGAGTCGATGTGTGGTCGGAGAGCCTACTGCATTTGAGGTGTAGCTGGTACTGCAGAGCTGACTGCACCTGTGCCAATGGGGCTACTGAAAGTCCGTTTGAAAGATGGGTTTAACACTTTCTGCTTTTGGGCAGCATGCACGCCCATTCGCGGATGGGTGAGGACGTGCCTCATCTCGCAACCTGCTGGGAATTCACTCCACAGTCCGCAATTGGCGCGGCTCTACGACATCGGGCTGCCAATGTCAAGTCCGATCTTCATGGCTTTTCTGCAAGAAGTGAGCTTTGAATCTCTTTCGATCCCTGTGGATTACTTGGCGGACATGCTGCGGCAAGGCCTGCTTGGCCAATCGTAAGCATCGCAATGTAGGCTGTAAGCTTGTGAAGCCTCGCGCGCTGCCCGGGCATCGTCCAGCCCCATCTTTAAACAGCAGGAGCTGTATGATGAGTTTTGCTTCAATGTTTCGTGCTCGCTCATCCACAGACACGCAGGGTCCACTGCAGAGAGGTCGCACAAAGGTCGCTTCCGCACAACATACCGGCAGCCGTGGTTCTGGGATAGTCAGTCTTGTGGGAGTGGTCTGATGAAAGTTTGATGTGGGGCGGCAGGACCTTGCAGGTGAGCCTTTCTTCGAAAGCAGAGGCTGAGGGACACGAAGAAATTGGGGAAGAGATTCCTCGCCTGGGCCATGATCCTTCTGGGTCGCAGGCAGTGGGGACGTCAAGGCAGAGGCATTTTCCGGCATTTTGGTTGGAAGGCTCGTGCAGTGCGGTGCAATTAAGTTGTTGGCCAGGCCGAGCCGAGCTGCCTCAAGGCAAGGCCGTAAACGCTTACAACGGCAGCTTTTGAGGTTCAGTCTGTGCCACTCGGTCGTTCTTCCTGCAGGCGTCTGATTTCGGCTTCGAAGACAACGAGTGGCCGGAGGAGGCTGATCTGCAGGACTGCGTGGACCTGGGCTGCAGAGGAGGTGCCAGTGCTCTCCGTGCTGCCTGTGAGGAATCGAGCCCGTCCAGTCCATCAACTCCCCGTGGCGAGGCGCACCTCGAAGCCGTGGTCTGACGGACTGCAGTCGCTTAAACACCAAACGCCTCAACCCAAAGAGCTCCAAAGCTCCAAAACTCCGAAGCCCTGAACCTCTGAACCCCAAACTCGGCCTCTCAGGCCCCTCACCCTAACCCCTAAAGCCTAAACCCTAGAAGATCTCCTAAACCCGTAAAACGTAGAGAGTTGCCAGCGTTTTCTGCAGGCTGTAGAGCCGGGCCCGGAGGGGGTGCATGGCGATGAGGAGCCTGCAGAAAACTGCCTTTAGGGTTGAGGGTTTAGGGTTTGAGGTTTTAGGGTTCAGGGTTTAGGGGTTTAGGGTTTAGGGTTGAGAGTTAAATGTAAGGGGCCTAAATAATTGCCAGTACTATTCTCGGGGCTCCTTATTAGAATGTATAATTATAGTATAATGGGCCCCGAAACCCTATTCTAATTATCAAGACCCCTGCAGTTTGGTTTAGGCTTCTGAGCCGAGCTTTACATCTGAGATGCGCAGGATCTCGACGCTCCGCCGACATGCAAGGAGCGACCGGTGAGTATTCGTGAATCTGCGATGTAGAACCCTAAACCCTAAACCCTAAACCCTAAACCGTTAAATCCTTACAGAGTTTTGGCTTTGAGAGTTTCGGCGTCGAGGTTTGAGGGTGTTAGGGTCGAAGGTTTTCCGGTTTGGGGAGCTATAGCCCCTGGAAATTCCTACCCTACACCCAAAACAACCTTAATTCCTAAACCCTGAACCCTAAACCCTAAACCCTTTACCCTAAACCCTAGGACTTAAACCCTGAACCCTCAAAAAAAAACCCTGAACCCTAAACCCTCAACCCTGAAGCCTGAACCCTAAACCCTAAACCCTGAACCCCTACACCCTAAGCCCTAAACCCTTTAATTCACATGGCTCTTGCCCCTGGCTTGGGAGCCTGGTACCTTTGCGCGAAGGCGCTGTTAATATGCCGATTTTGCATCCCAGAGGTGGCAGATGGGCTGAAGGGGCACAGAGGGTTTAGGGTATAACGTCCAGTGGGGCCCCGAAACCCTAAACCCTAAAGTTTAGGGTTTAAGGTTTAGGGTTTACCCAAAGGGTCCAAAGGACCCAACAATCAGGTACTTAGGTTTCGGATAGTAGTTTTGTAGGTTACTATTTGGGAGAGTATATGATTATTAGGTACTCGGACCCTTAGGGTTAGGGCTGAAAATCCTGTAGAGGCTCCAAAGTTTCACTTGTTTCTGGTGTTAGATGTCGAGTTTCGGAGGTTCAGTGCGAGCACCTCCTGTCAGGGTCGGAATCAGCGGATATGTGTCATTTGTTGCGGGACTTCGGATTGCTAGTCTTAGTTCTACAATTTAGAGGCGAAAACATACTGTCGAGGTTTATGAATTTGGCATTTAGGTCTTTAAGGATCGGAGACACTGGATTTGACGAGTTCGAGACTGCTGTAAGGGGTAGGATCACAGACCATCGCTCCGAGAGTCGAGCTAAGAGCCATGGACATGAGCTTACTAATCTCTGCCCCCCTATAACTCGACTAAATGCTATTATTCATTGATTTTGGAACAATACTCACTATTGGGAGTGGCGGTTTTCGCTCTTCCCATTGCTCAGTTCTTTCTTCTAAGCCCTTCTTTTGGCAGGCAACAAGCCTTGCAGTCGTACTTCTTAAGTTCCTGTTGCTGCAGCCTGCAATTCCCGGGCGGTGCCTGCAGTCCTACGTTGCTGCGGCCCGCTGGCTAAGAAGCTGGAAAACTTAACCCTAAGGCTCCATGTACTCATACAGCATATACATATATATACATATATATATATATACATATAAATATACATATATATATATATATATTTATATATGGGCCTGAAAGTACCTATATAAGGACTACATTAAGGCAATGTATATGCTATATGAGTACATGGACCCTCAGGGTAGTTCACACGTTTTCGTACGCACTCGCCCTTAGAATCGTAAGGTTTCGGATGCTGGGATGCTCTCTAAACCTAAATTCTGCGCAGGAGGGCGAGAGCTTCGATACAGCGTAAGTAATTGGTCAAAGGTCCCCTACCAAACTCCGTGAGACAGAGCGACAGAGCTTCGGTACAGGTTCAGAAGTTGTTCTGTTTTGTAGCTCCCCAACTCTATGCACCCGGGCGAACCCTGCTGCCCCCATAATCCCTACCTGTACTGTAGTTTTGGCCGTTGTGAACTCCTCTTGGTGTGCATTCTAAATACAAGCATCTAGTCTCAGGGGAAGACTCAATTGCAGAGGGAAACGATTGGACAGTGCAAGAAGCTACAAAGCCCGTGAATTTTGCTACCGTGATGGTTGTGATCATGATCATATTGATGGTTTCGAAGACCCTCTCTGCTGCCCCGCCACGCTGTCTGCCCGCCGTGCAGGATGCGTGGCTCTTCCGCTAGAATCTAGCAGAAGTAGCAGGCGAGCTGTGGCCAAATTCGGCCCTCTCGCCTTGTTGAGCCTGTGGGGCCTCGATCCGGGGCATTTGCTTCTTCTGGCACTGTTATCCTTTGAGACCATCAAGACAGTGCATGTAGGCTGTGACCACTTCGTAGACAAATCGACCGCCCAGGACGGCTGGCAGTAACCATTTCATTGGTACGAGGAACAAGTGCAGATGGTAAAAACCTGTTGCTAGTCCGCTCAAAGTACAGTTGCTAGCTTAAAGTGCTCGGTCAAACGTGCCATACTTCATCCCGAACCGCGGACCTATCACCATGAAGTCGCTGCCGCAGGGGTGGTGCTGTAGCAGCAGCAATTGCAGCAGGAATCGTAGCAGTACTAGTCGTCCTTGCAACAGTAGCTGCAGTGGTAGCAGTACGAAGCAGCAGTAGCAGTCGCAGAGGTAGTGGCAGTAATAGCAAGTATAGTTGCAGTGCAGTAGTACTACCAGATATTGGCAGTGGTGCAGTAGAAGCAGTAGTTGCAATAGCAGCAATGAGTACTGTTCTAGTTCGTGCTTGCGCTTTGGTAGCAAAAGCGACAGCAGCATGTCCTTAAAATGCTGGAACACCGAGCTTGCGCAGGAGACAGTGTCCAGCAGAGACCGATGGACGTCGCAATGTCTTCCCCACCCTTAATTTCCACTTCATGTCCGATATCAATACTAGCAGCAAACCTAGACTACCTGCCATATAATGTCTCGGTTTTGCCTCGTGGTGAAGTCAAGCACGGCCAGAGACGCCAAGCTGGATGAATGACCGAATTCAGAGTGGGGAAGCCGCTGAATCACAAGCCCGAGTGTGTTTTTTTCAGGGGAAGTGGTTGCTTGTTCTCGGCGTTTTGCCTTTCAACCCACCCTAATCCGCAGCACTCCGAACCAATAGTCAGTTACGCCTAGCCACTGAGATAACCCTAAACCCTAAACCCTAAATCCTAAACCCAAGACAAGGTAACTTGAAGATGATGCAGTGATCACCCCTGATCCCAAAATCCTAACCTAACCCTAAACCCAATCCCGTGCAAGAATCCCGAACGCCAACAGCCTCTTAAAGCAACATTGTTGCTTTCTATCGGTTTATACAAGAGTCTTACATGAGAGTGTGTGTGCGAGCGAGAAAGAGGGAGGGAGAGAGAGAGAGTGAGACAGAGAGGCAGGAACGAAAAGAGAGTGAGAGTGAGAGAGACGGTGTGAATAACCAACAGTTAGGCCCGCCTGGCACACATCCTGCCGACATCCCCGAATCGGTTTAGGGTTTAAGGATTAAGACATCTGTGCCAGATCCGCAGCACTTCTTCCCTCGCAACCCCGCTTTGGGAGCGAGTGGCACAGCCATGTCAGGCTCAACGGCCTTGATCACAGTGGATGAACGCAGATGCGGGTGGTCATGGAGTCGCAGTTAGGACTCTTATTAGTTTGAGATTTTTGTCATTTGGCACCGTCACAGGATCTATCTTGTAAGGATTTCTGCGTGGTGTGAAACCATGCACAGTCATGAGTACTCTGATCACCTTATCATCATCTCGAAGCTTCAAGGGTAGTTCTCTAAATTAGGGTCCCTTTGGGGGTCTTTTTTATAAGGGTGCCGNNGACCCTAATTTAGAAAACTACCCTCAAGACCCCAAAGGTTTAAAGTCTTGCTCAGCTCAGCTTCGAAGGATATCGATTGTTCAGCCAAGCACGGCTCCTGAGAGGGGCGTCAAACTGTTGGTAGACAACCCATCGTCTGTAGATCCCGAAATCCGAACATGCATTGTTGGTGCCTCCGTCAGAAGTTTCGGCCGCCACCAGACATAAACTCAATTTTAGCTGCATGCTCAGGACGGGTTTAGGGCTCTCGTAAGTTGCTTTGGAAATGGAATAACCATCTTGGTCTTAGGGTTAGAAGATTAAAGTGAACCACTTGGACTCCTTCAGCCCGCTGGAGGAATGCTGCGTTCATAGGTACCGAGTACAACTCAGATCGGGGCATGCCACGAGTCACGAACCGAGGTTTAGGATTTAAGCAAGCTTTCAGTTGAAGCCAGTCGGAGAGTTGCTTGTTTGCTACACCTCCTCAAGTGATCTATTCGAGAAAGCCGAGTTATACTTCAGACAACTACACCTTCCACTGCCTATAGTAAGGTTGCTTATGACCGTACTTATACACTAACTACCCATTAAACATTGAACCCTAGTAACTCCCACAAGACTACAAGACTGGCCCCTGAAGATAATTCGAGCAGAGTGTGGGGCTTCCACTGTTGCAGCTGCGGCTGCTACTACTACTACTACTACTACTACTACTATTGCTACTACTACTACTACTACTACTACTACTACTGCTACTAATGCTACTACTACTACTACTACTACTACTACTACTA